ATGTCCCTGTCTCTTATACACATCTAGATGTGTATAAGAGACAGGGTGGATGCTCGTACCAACACCACTAGCAATCTCAGCCAGTTGAAAAAAAAAAAAAAAAAAAAAAAAAAAGGTGTCACTGCTATTAGGCAAAGAACTCGCCAGAAAATGCCATTCATTCCAAAGACGGTCCTTTCAGCTGCTCAGGCAATATGCACTGTGGACGATCTAAAAAACAGACGATTGGGGGAAGAAAAAAGATGCACAGGCATGAGGCGCAGCAAACTCAGGGTTGTGCAGCTTGTGCTCCACCGACTTAATTTAAGAATTTCCTCGAAGAGTTTCGGGCTCCACAGCCGTTTCCACTTTCTTTCCCTTTCTGGGATTTTGCCTACATTCACTCAAGAATCCCCCCTACAATCACTGAAAGTGGGAGTTCTCCTCTGTTCTCCGCGATGGGGTGCTGATTCCGGGGTTCTGAACTTAGGAGACTACGGGGGATGGTATCGTTTCGCAAGAATTCCCCCCAAAACGGTACAATGCATCTATGCCAGATTCTGGCCCCGGTGAAATCGTGGAGCACAATTCTACCATGTGACGGGCCGTCCTCTTCGTAAATTCCATCGTTAAGTACGGGTGGTGGAGCCCCAAAAAGTATTACAGGGAACTCGCCGCACTTACCTATACTTCGGCGAAATTCTTAAATTAAGTCGGTGGAGCACAACCCTTACTATAATCTGCTGGAAATGCACATACGGCCGCAGTGACATGGAAAGAGAAGGCAAGCCCAGCAAAACCTGGAGACGGCCAGAGACAGAATAAACAAGTCTCAGAGAAACGTGCCGGATCAAGGGAAGGTGGCAACGCTGGAGGGGTCAAGAATCCAGGTCCAACGGTATCCAGCAAGGCCTAACACGTCACAACTGCCACAGGAGGACGCAGAGCAGAACTCAGAGAGAGCGACTAGGGTTTACAGGAAAGGACAGAATTTACGGGGGCTTAGGAGGGCCAGAGGCGTACAGGTATACGAAGTTCGATCGCTGGGGGGGGGGGGGGGGGGGGGGGGGGTTCAGACTCCAGAGTGAACTAGTCCATTTTAATTTTTGTGAAGTTGCTGATAAAGGGACGCTCGACCCGGTTTCCAGCTCAAGCCTGATCTGGGTAAATGGGCCCAGCATTTTTCCGGGTTGAGATGTTGAGGAATTCCCGGGCTCAAGGTTCATCATATATTAAAACTGCAGCTTTCTTGAAAGAAAAAACAAGCAAAACTGATGATGACATACTTTTTCATTGGACTTGCACCAACTGACTCATCAGGAGGCTGAACCCTCGACAATCTGTGGAATCCCCATATTGATGCTTTGAGTCATGGACTCGTTTGACCCCTGTTGGAAGTAGACAGCCTGCAGGCAATACCACAAGCAGAATACGGAAGCAAGGCAATGACTCGGTGAAGCACCAGGCAACGCCAACGGGGCAGCCCGACTGCACGACATCAAAGCTAACTGACTGGAACAACAGCACAAGCGGACGGGGAACAAAGCAGCAGCACAGCGAAGCAAAAGGTAGCACTGCAAAAACGGCCACACTACGCGGCACGCAAGCAAAATGCACAGAAAGGCAAGACACACAGATGGGCAGCAAGGCAACAATGCAGCAAGGCACAAAGCACCACTATCAGGGCAACCAAACAACGTGGCAACCAGACAAGCTACAGGGAAAAACATGGCAAGCGGGCTGGAAGCATGGCAGCAAAGGAGCACAGAGAAGGCAGTCCACACGTCCAACACGGAGCAAAGCAATCCATCACCTACTCGCAGCACAAGTAGAATCCCGCAGACTGACAAGCTACAGGGAAAGACATGGTAAGCGGGTGGGCAGCAAGGCAGCGGAGGGGCGCAGAGAAGGCAGTCCACACATTCAACACGGAGCAAACCAATCCGTCACCTACTGACACCGCAAGTAGAACCCCGCAGACTGTTGGTTCCCACAACCTGCCGAGCCAGGGCATCACTCCCGACGGTGTGTGTGTGTGTGTGTGTGTGTGTGTGTGTGTGTGTGTGTGTGTGTGTGTGTGCATGCGTGTGTCGGGTGTGTGTGGGTGTGTGTGGGTGTGTGGGTGTGGGAAAGGCATGCATGGCATCCCACTTACTTGGACTGTTCCTAATTCTGGTCGCCGTGATCCCTTGTCTTGGAAGAAGGGTTTCCAGCACCGTTGATCTGACAGATCAAAGCTGATCTCCCAAGGTTCTCCTCTAGCCTGGATGTTGGCCCAGATGTTCCTGTCATTGAACAATACTCCAACCTGCATTGATTACTCTCAAAAAGAGTCAGAAACGCACAGGAAGTCTCAAACAGAATCCTACTGAGCAGAACTCAGCCCATGTGGTGGAATGGTACACAGTACCACACACATGTTAGTGTTGAAAAACAGATCACTAATCTAACGGGCTTCTTCACAGTTCTTTTTTCTCCGTCCCCCCCCTCCCCCCCCCGCCCACCCCGGAAGATGTAAGGCTTATCAATATGGGATGCAACCTCTCTAACATGATAGTAACATCCCATACGCATGCTCATTGTCACGTCAGCACAGCTCTACAAAAGACCAAGAAAGAAAAGAGGGCAATTACGTCTCAGTCAAGAATTGAGTTCCCAATAGGCAAGAAAAGTGAGAAGAACTCATATCGGCAGGTCTGTCATGGCCTAAGTTCAAAAAGGCAGTTAAAAAACACAAGCTGACAGCTCAGACAGGCGTGGTACTATCATAATGCCAGGGGCGGGCCGTGGTGTGCAGGGGACCTAAGTTCAGAAAGGCAAAAAAAACATACCACTATGTTTTCCTTTTCTTGCCCTTTCACAACTCGCGCCGTGACCCAACTTCTGTTTATTGTTTCTTTTGGCTTTTGAAACTGAAAACCTGATGCAGCCGCAGTTGTTTCAAGAAAGAAAGAATCCTCCTGAGCAAACTCCAGCTTGTAGAGATGGCAAGCAATTTATGCAGTTCCACGGAGGGGAAAAGAAGAAGAAGAAGGAGAAGAAGGGAGTGGATGGGGAGGGAGGGGGACGTGGTTGACTTGCGGAGTCATCTGCAGTGCCATTGAAGTTCTCTGTGATGTTCCTTGGAAAAGAGAGGAACAGGGAAAAGGATCATTGGTAAAGAGGAGTTAACGGAAGGGAAAACGAGAAGAGGAGAGAAGAGGAGAGCAGAGAGAAAAAGAACAAGAAGAGAAGAGAGGAGGAGGCGATAGAAGAGAAGAGAGACAAAAAAAGACCGGAAAAGAAAACGAAAGAAAAGAAGTGGTGGGTGCTGGCGATAAAGGCATGTACTAGGCCTAGGAAGTGGGTGCGTATCCTATACAATGACCCTAGAGGGTGTGTTCAAATCAACGGCCTGCTATCAGATTGTTACCCATTATCACACTCAGTTCGTCAAGGTGATCCACTAGCGCCACCATTTTTCCTTTTCGTGATGGAGGCAATAGCATCCTTCCTACGGAAAGACCCTTCCATCCATAGACTACCGGAGGTTAACGTAGGTACTCCCCACCACCTACAATTCCCAAAAGTCATTACGTTCACAGACGATCTGACGGTCCTCATTCGCACCTCAGATTCATCGTATAGTGCACTAGTAAGAGCGATGAAGGCGTTCAGATTGGCATCAGAAATGAAAATCAACTGGAAGAAAACAATGGGATGGTGGCTGTCTGAAGAGGAGATCCCTCAGATTCAGGGGCTGGAGGCGGCCATGACATGGGAGAAACCTGAGACACCTACGAGATTCCTGGGCATCTTGATGACGAAAGATGGCTTCGGCCCCCAAATTATGGCCCAGAACGTGCTCTCCAACCAAATCAACGAACTAGGTAGGTGGGGGAACAAGTTTACGTCATTGCTGGGTCGTGCACTAACTATCAATACATCAGTTTTCTCAATGATGTGGTACATAGCCTCAATTTGGACAGTGTCGGATCATACAATTAAGGACCTCAACCGTAAAGCTAGAGCATTGGTTGGGTAACCCCAACAAGGAGAACTATATACCAAAGATAGCCTGACACTACATCACAAGGAAACCAGCCAGAGGAAAACTCGGTATTATCGATCCCAAACAAGAAACAACATTGGGGGAAGAAAGATGCACAGGCAGGAGGCGCAGCAAACTCAGGGTTGTGCAGCTTGTGCTCCACCGGCTTAATTTAAGAATTTCCTCAAAGAGTTTCGGGCTCCACAGCCACTTTTTTCCCTTTCAGGGATTTTGCCTACATTCACTCAAGAATCCCCCCTGCAATCACTGAAAGTGGGAGTTCTCCTCTGTTCTCCGCGATGGACTGCTGATTCTGGGATTCTGAACTTAAGAGACTACGGGGGATGGTATTGCTTCCCAAGAATTCACCAAAAAAGGGTACAACGCATCTATGCCTGATTCTGGCCCCGGTGGAATCGTGGAGCACAATTCTACCATGTGACGGGGCGTCCTCTTCGTAAATTTCATCGTTAAGTACGGGTGGTGGAGCCCCAAAAAGTATTACAGGGAACTCGCCGCACTTACCTATACTTCGGGGAAATTCTTTAATTAAGTCAGCGGAGCATAACCCTTACTATAATCTGCTGGAAACGAACATAAGGTCGCAGTGACATGGAACAAGAAGGCAAGCCCAGCAAAACCCGGAGACGGCCAGAGACACAATAAACAAGTCTCAGAGAAACGTGCCAGATCAAGGGAAGGTGGCAATGCTGGAGGGGTCAAGAATCCAGGTCCAATGGTATCCAGCAAGGCCTAACACGTCACAACTGCCACAGGAGGACGCAGAACAGGAGAGAGCGACTAGGGTTTACAGGAAAGGACAGAATTTACGGGGGTTCAGGAGGGCCAGAGTCGTACAGGCATACGAAGTTCGATCGCTGGGGTTGGGGCTCCAGGGCCGGGGCGGTACAACTTTCTTCTTTTGAGCTAAATACTGGTGGGCACTTACCTGTCTCAATCCGCAGGTGTGGTCGCCGACAGCACAAACATGACCATTGCTGGGATCCCAGACCATGGCACGTCCACGTCGCCATGAGATGACCTCGTCACCTTCACCACTAAGCGCTCCAAGCGTTATCACATATGCTGCTTCTCCATCCTTTCAAGAGCCAGGGAAACCGATGCACGGCTGGTGTCAGGTCAGGTTATTAGGAAGGCAAAATGAAAAACACATTTTGAAAAGGACAGTTTCTATTTTAAAACTTCAAATACAAACCTTGAAAGACTTATGTTCATTAATAATCACAAGGGCTTTGGAAGAGCTGACAGTCAAGTCCACCTATCGCCAAATCTGTCGGGAAAAAGGTTTGGCAGGCAACATTGAGGAAAGATGGGCCAAGCATCCCAATACAGAAATAGAGAAGCTCCTTGGAGTGAAGCTGTGGAGTGAAGCTGTTTAAAAAATCATATAGGGCTAAACCCTCTGACTCCTCTTCCCTTCAATAGCAGATAGTGCATAGGTGACTACCCGCCAGGGACTGGCCAGTGGATCGGGTAACGGCGTAACGCTGCGACAAAGTGGCACCCGTCTCCCTTGGCGCAGAAGGTTCTCAAACATCCCTTATGCTATTACAGGGAAATGTGGGTCTTGCGTGATAGTCCCACGCGAGATCTTGCCCCAGTGTTGGGCAACTTCGCGGCAGAGGAGCGGGCCCGAAACAAGGACACACGCGAGATCTTGCCCCAGTGTTTCAAGGCTGGTAGGATTGGAAAGTCAGTACTTTGGACTTTCCGCAGGCGCAAGCCTGTAAGCTAAGTGGCTGATGCTGTCAGTATCTCCGGGTGAAATTGTGAGGTCCGTGGCCTCGTGATGTTTTTTTTTTTTTTTTTTTTTTTTTTTTTGGGGG